CTGGGCGGGGGCAGAGACTCTTGCCAAGCTGGGCAGTGCCCTGCGGCAACAAGTCCTCCTCCACTGTGCTGGCTGGCAGGCAGAAACATCACCTGCTGACTGTCCTTGTGACTGTGCACGTAAGCGCTCAGTGCCACCTCCGCAGAGCTACATCAGGAGATCCTGGGGTGGATGTTTCTTGGTGAGGGAAGGGGGAACGCTGGAAAAGTCAAAGCCAATCAAGCACAAAGACGTTGCTTTCAGGTTTGGGGCTCTGATGGAGAAGAGAAGGGCACAGACAAGCTCAGAGAGCATCCTTCCTGCCCTCATGGGTGAAGAAGATAGAGCCCTGAAGGGTCCTACATGGATCGAAGGAGGAGTTGCACATGGATTCATGGAGACAAGATAGGTCCTTCATGGACCCATGGAGACAAGAAGGGGCTGTGCAGGGAACGATGTGTGGGTGAAAGGCACACATCAGCCATGGGGTCTGGCCTGCTCTGGACTGTGTTGCCAGACTGCAGCCCCCCCTCGCATGTCCCAGACCTTCCCTGGTGCTACCTGAGCCCTCCAAGCCACCCAGCTCCGCAGGTGGCTGCCATACCTGTATCCTCGGTGGCACTGCTGAGAAGACCAATTTTCTGGAGGTGGCTGGGTGTGGAGACGGACAGGGACATGACATCGCCAATGGCCTCGTGGAAGCCAGGGTTGGCCCCGCTGCGGAAGGAGACGGGCTGGTCCTTGTATTGCAGGTAGTACTGGACATGGCCCATCTCGTGGTGCACCGTGAACAGCTGCTCCATGGTCACCGTTGTGCACTGCTTGATCCTGCCGGATGAAAACAGAACATTGCCTGAGCTGGGTGAGGGACCCCGGCTTCTTGTGCACCCCCTCGATGGGAAGGACCCTCCAGGGTGCCTGAGAGGGTGGCAGCACCCCATGGGGTAGGGGAAGGACACGGTGGAGGGGAAGGCAGGGCAGCTTGGTGCCCTAAGACCCTACCCCAGAAGGTGACATGTTGGGCTGCACAGCCAGGCTGGGAGTACCCAAAATGGTGACCACCAAGGGGGTATGGATGGGGGGGTCTTACCCTGTAGCGCTGGGCCCCTGCATGCCCCCACACACCTGAAGTCCTTGCGGTTGTAGAAGTCCCAGGCTGAGGCATGGCACACCACCTCCCTCCCGTCAATTGGCTTCTCCAGCATTGACTTCTCCCAAAATTCGGGGGGCATCTCCAGCAGCCCCAGGGAGGTGAAGAACTCCTCTGAGACCCGGAACATGTGGGTGGCGTTCCAGCCCTGGCCGTCAGCAGGCAATATGTTATGGCTGAGGAAAGGGCTGCCCATGCCCTGGACTTCACCTCTGATGCTCTCCCAGCATGGCTGGGATGAGGTGGGTTCCTCCAAGGGACCGGGGTCCTGCCCCTCTCACCCTGATGGGGAGCCCTGGCCCCAGAAATGGGCCAAGCATTCCTAAGAACCACTGAACAGTGGTGCTGGTGTCCATGATTCTCCTCATGGACAGGAGATGGGAACAGGGCTGATGCCCCAGGAGTGCTCGGAGCTGTGTGATGGTGTGGATGCAGTCCCCAGCTTGGGGACTGGCACCAGTCCCACTGCACTGTCCTTCCTCTTTGCCCACCTGCTGCCTCTTTGGTCATTGCTAGAGAGGGAGAGGGGTCATTTCTTTGCCCCTTCCCCTCCTGGACGTGGCTTTTCTGCTGTTCCCTGTGGAGGTGTGAGAAACCACTCCCATGAGGTCAGTGTCATGGACAAGCCTTGGCCAACAACCCCCCCGTTTTTGTCCCCTTGGAGACACCAGTGAGCCCCTCAGCCCATCACCTGCTGCACCATGGTGCTCGTGACATCGAGGTTGGGCTTCTCGGGGTAGGGGACCATCAGGTCATAGATATTGTTCCACTGCTGAGCCCACATGTTGCCTGAGAAGAGAAAATAGCTGGAGCAGAGCTGGTGGTAGGTTGGGAGGAAGAGAAACACAGTGATAACTGGGAACTCCCTCTCCCACTGTGGCCCTGTATGTGCCCCTCTGGCCCCACCAACAGTCCTGGGTACAGGCTGGAGGGGTCCTTTCTCTTACCAAGGAGATGAGCAG